GATCTTGTGGCACTCGACGACCTCGGGCTGGTCGAGCGCCATCTTCTCGACCGTCCGGCCCTGGCCCAGCGCGGGCCGCACCCGGATCCACGCCCCGATCGGGTGTCCCAGCGCAGCCGGGTCGATGTCGAGGCGGTAGCCGCGGATCACGCCGGCCCGCTCGAGGCGCTGCACCCGCTCGGTGACCGCCGGTGCCGAGAGCCCGACCCGGCGTCCCAGCTCGGACATCGACAGGCGCGGGTCGGCCGTGAGGGCCCGCAGGATGCGCTCGTGGGTCTCATCGAGCTCCATCATGGCTTCTCCAGGTGTAGCAGCCTCTTCGCTTGATGTTCTGACGGTACCGCGTGCCGACAACCGTGAGAACGCCATGGGAAGTCCCTCTCGGACCTCGGAGGATGGAGGCATCCGCACCGAAGAGGGGGAGAGCATCGTGTCCATCGTCCTGGGCCTCGTCGCCGTGGCCCTGCTCGTCCTGATCGCCGCGCGCTACGGCGCCGACAGCCGTACCGGTCCCGACCCGACGGGGCGGGACGCCGCCTGGCCCGACCGCCCCGTCCGCCACCACACCCCGGGCGCCGACCTGCGCATCCTGGGCGCGCCGGCCCGCGCGTGGGCCGCGCAGGTCCGCGCGGAGCGCGTGCTCGACCGTCACCAGCGTCCGTGGGAGGGCTGCGAGGCGCTCACACCACGGTGGTGAGCACGCTCGGCGCCCGGTCGAGGTCGTCCCACGTGGCGGCGAGCCGCACGACGGCATCGTCGAGGACGTCGAGCGGCAGGGTGTACGGCACCCGCAGCCGGCTCTCGAACGCGCCGCCGACCCCGAAGCGCGGGCCCGACGCGAGCACGAGGCCGTGCCGGGGCGCCGCCTCGGCCAGCGCACTCGAGCGGGGCGCGCCGAGGTCGGCCCAGAGCGCCATCCCGCCCCCCGGACGGCGCACCGACCAGTCGGGGAGCGCGGCGGGCAGGGCGCGGAGCAGGTGGTCGCGGCCCGCGCGCAGCCGGGCCCGGTTCGTCGCCGCGAGCTCGTCGTGCCGTTCCAGCAGCGCCAGCGCCATCAGCTGGCCGAGCACCGGCGGCGCCACGTCGTCGGAGGCGCGCGTCGTGGCGATCCGGCGCACCAGCGCCCGCGGGGCGCGCAGCCAGCCGATCCGCAGCCCGGCCCAGACCGTCTTGGAGAGCGACCCGATGGTGATCACGGTGCTCTCGCTGCGTGGGCCGGCGAACGAGCCGAGGCACGGCGGCGGCGGGGCGTCGATCCAGGTGTCGCGCAGGCTGTCGTCGACGACGATCGGGACGCCGTGCCGGCGGAAGGCGTCGACGACGCCCTCGCGCGTGGCCGCGCCCATGACCGCCCCGGTCGGGTTGTGCTGGTCGGCGACGAGGTACGCCGTCGCCGGCGTCGACTCGCGCAGCGCCGCCGCGAGGGCTCGGACGTCCCAGTCGAGCGTGCCGTCGTCGCTGCGCTCGAGCGACACCGGTACGGGGCGCGCCGAGCTGTCGTGCACCAGGCCGATCGCGTTCGGATAGGTCGGTTGGTCGAGCACGACGCGGTCGCCGGGACGGACCAGGGCGCGCGCCACGAGCGAGTGGGCGTGCTGGCTGCCGGAGGTGATGAGCACCTCGTCGGGGTGGGTCGGCAAGCCCTCGTCGGCGAGGCGGTCGGCGACGGCCTCGCGCAGGGCCGACAGGCCGACCACGTCGTACCCGGCTGAGCAGAGGTGGGCCGGGAGCGCCGCGAGGGCGGCGTGACCGGCCTCGGTCACCGCCTCGGCGGGAGCGGTGGGGGCCGCGTGCGCGAGGTCGATCGTCCCGGCCGGACTGGGGGCGGGGGTGAACGGCAGCGGCGGGGCCTCGGTCGGCGTCGCGGTCCAGGTGCCCGAGCCCCGGCGGCGCACGAGGTGGCCCGACGCGCGCATCCGCTCGTAGGCCGCGGCCACCGTGCCGCGACCGACACCGAGCGCGGCGGCGAGGTCGCGCTCGCTCGGCACCCGGACGCCGGGGGTCAGCCTGCCGTCGGCGAGCAGGGCCTGCATCCGCCGGGCGAGGGCCGTCTGGGCGGGGGCGGCGGGACCGTCGGCCCAGCCGCCGAGCCGGCGCGCGAGGGCCGCGGCCCCGAGGTGCTCGTCCACGCGGTACTCCTGCCACTTCAGCCAATTCCGTGGCCACTATGGCAGAAGTGGCTCTTCCGGGCCCGCCACCGAGCAGCCACTGTCGACGGTGTCGTGCTCATCGGGGGAGGAGTGGCTCTCGTGTCCGTCGTCATCGCTCTCGTGGTCCTGACCCTGCTGGTGGGGCTGGTCGCGCGCTACGGCGCCGACAGCCGCACCGGCCAAGGGGTCGAGCTCCGCTCCGCTTCCTCTCCGGGCGCCGACCCGACCGGGCGCGACGCCGCCTGGCCCGACCGTCCCGTGCACCACCACACCCCGCGTGCCGACCTGCGGGTCGTGCGGGCGCTGGCCCGG